CTAAACCCCCCCCCCCCCCCCCCCCCCCCCCCTTACTTGAATTGCGGTCCTGGTGCGGCTGTGCCCCAGGATCTGTTAATGTAGAAAATACAAGTTCCATATCATATGCCACTGCGGTAGAGGGACTTGTGATTTTCAATGGAATGCAAGTGTGGTGACGTATTCCATTGATGCTTCTTTCTGTCCCTGTTACTGAATGTCTGTACTAAAAATGCACTAAAACGAAAAGGTATGTTTCCAGCCTCAATGTTTGTTTCACATAAGCCAATGTGTGCAGAAAATCATGCATAGATTGTAGTTGGTGTCATGGATCTCACCAAAATTCAGTTTAAGGATCACATGTCATTTAATTAAAGGCCATCATGCTGTTATTAATATAAGCGGTAGGTCAGTTCTTGTCACAGTCATTTTAACAGCTGTTTGTTTGATGGCAGAAAATAGGTCAGAGCACATTATTTATAGATACCATATTAATTTATCAGGCAGAGCTAAGAATTAGGGCATTAAAAACTCATTGTCATAGACAGGCACATGTGGAGCTTGTCTTTCCATTATGTTCCTTGATATACTCCTCAGGCGCTTGTCACATACAACAATGTCTATGCAGCTGCTAAAAGCTTCATACGGGAAGACCTTTAAGGCGAGTGATTTGATTCCTGATTTGCCAGTTCTCTGTTGACGAGCACTGATAATTACATTCACCGCTGTAAATAGCTTGAGATGCAGAGTGATAAGAGGCTCTCTATGAATGTTAATTTGGTAGGAAAAAAGCTAGAGAGTTTTGAAGATAACAAGGACTTTGTAACATCAAGATTGGAAAATGAGATTGAGTTTTCATACATTTGCTGTGAACCACACAATTCAGAGTAGGTCATTTAGAATTAATGAGTAATATATAAGAGAAAGTGACCTGATGTAAATTACTTCTCTTATATCTAGAATATATTATCTGTATCACATGCCTTCTTATGTAAGCTGTGTGACATGAGCCGCTACTAATCACCCTTCAAAGTACGAAGCAGCCACCCAGCTAAACCAAGTTACTACAGCTCCATTACAGACCTTTGACATAATTTCCCTGTAACAGAAATGCAATTACAACAGATGCGACAGACAACAGGCTTATTTCACAGGGATGTTAACCTGCGAGGATCGTTTATAGCAGCAATTCTCAACCTTTTTCTCAGGCCCCCTTTAAAAGTAGGCACCCCAATCTAAAATGTAATGCAGGGGCCCCATGCAAAAACACAAAAAAGTGGGGTTCCCCATTCACATCAGAGCCCCCTTTTCATATCAGAGTCCCCCTTTACATCAGTAGCCCCCTTCACATCAGGAGCTCCCCTTTACACCAGAGCTCCCCTTATATATTAAAATCCGTCCCCTTTCACACCAGAGTTTCCTCTTCACATCAGTAGCCCCCTTCCCATCAGAGACTTCAGTTCCCCCTTTAAAACAGAAGGCACCCCAGGGTTCCACGACACCCTGGTTGGGAAAGGCTGGTTTATAGGGTAATATGAACGTTTTATGCCCTGCAGCAAAAAGTAGGTGCAGCTACATTGTGTAATTGGCATGGCTTATAAAGAGATCATACTTACATAGAAAGAACAAAAAACAGATAATTATACCCAGTGTGTATACAAAGGGGAATGGCACCACGCAATATCCCTATATAAATGTCAACATTTTAGAAACCAGACTCAAAAATAGCAAAATAAACATTTACTTTATTTTACACATATGGACAGGACTGTCTTGCAAAATACGGGTCACCTGGGATCTATGCAGGGTTTGGTCCGGTCTTTGGTGAATAAAATAAGACATGTATGATTTCTACATCAGAGCGACATGGTGAGAGAGGTAAAAAAAAGCGGGTGACTCGCTAGATTTTAGGGTGAGTTAAAATGGCTGATTTTAACATTTACTAAAATGCCCTATAGTGTATACACTGGAAACAGGCACTTTTACAAGTCTGAACCCACTAGATTTTCACATGGTTCTCCTAGCCTGGCTCTATGGCCCACGATCCAATGTAAAAGGCATACACTGTATATCCTACCTTCACTTACAGGTTTCAGCGAGGGTAAATAAATGAAAGCACACATATCAAATGACCTCTTGTCCTGAATCACTTATAGCGCTAGTTTACTACTGGGAAATAAATGTCATTGGTGGCAGAACGTGGCATGTGTTACCTAACATGTCTGAAATGCAGCTTGAATCACCTCCTTGGCCAGCAGCCACATTCTAGGGCTGTTCAACATCCAAGGAAATCCTGTTAGCAGCGATATATCTTACTAAATTCAGGTTAAAGCCCAACTCTAGCCAAACTGTGTGTTTTTGTTCTAGAGAGTTGATGGTGGAGGGGGGATAGACTTTGTCGCCTAGTAGTAGTCAATCACATTCCACTGGACTTATTTTTACCAGCCATCCAAGTGGCTCTCTCAGTTCAAATGAGTGTTGTGAACACACCCCATAATTTATAGCCATATAGGCAGGGGCGTAACTAGAAATCACAGGGCCCCATAGTAAAATTTTGTATGGGGCCCCTTTGATCTCTAGTTACACTCCTTGCCGAGCCCAATTGAGATCCCACACAGCCCCCCTGAGGGTGACCCTGCAGAGCCCACCATAGACTCTCTAAGGTGGGCTCTGCAAGGTCACCCTCAGGTGGGCTGGTCACACTCCTTACCTGTCCGCCTCCTCTTCCTCCACCGTCGGTGATGAGCCCCGCCCCCTTCCCCCATCACCGGGCCCGCCCCCTCCCCCGTCACAGGCCCCGCATCCTCCTCTGATGCCATCCCCGGGCCCCGCCTCCTCCTCCTCTGCTGGGTCCAGCCTGCTCCACCGCCGCTGCTGGCTCTCACTGACTCAGCAGCAGCTGTGGAGAGGAACGCGCCGCTGCACAGATCACTGCCAGTGATCTGAACAGTGGCACATTTCTCTTTACAGCCGCCAGTGACAGCCAGCAGCGTGAGATGCCATAGTGACCCAGGCCGGGCCAGCCTGTGCCCCGGTCCCCATAGCAGCCGCCTGGGTCGCTATGGTGATTGTTACACCACTGCATATAGGCAACTAACTCACCCTACTCCAAATCCTTAATCCATAGAGTTATGAAATGGGTCAAGGCAAATGTTGTTTATTCAAGAACATGACTAAAGGTGTGAAAAGCTATAGAAACACACTGTTTTAATGAACATAATCCAATTACCACAGTGTCCTGAAGTCAGGGATAGGTGTTAATTGTTTGAGATATTTTTATTGCTGTATGTAGGCCAATTGGAAAGCTTTCCCAAATATGTGTGAAATATCTCCAAGGGGGACAACATCACCTTTATTTTATTTTTGTAACAGGACGGGAAAGGTTAGAACTTTTGTGACTTTTTATTTCTATCTGCTCCTTCCTATCACTGTGACCTCCATTCTCTTCAGTTTATTGTATTGGTGATGCGCAGCAAAAAATTGAGATGAAAACTACCCAGTGGAGTAAAGATAGCAATAAAACCTGACAAAATATCTAAACATTTCTTGTTTAGAAATGTTTAATGGAGGTGGGATTTTGTAGGCTTCCAGCCCTAATTTGCCTATGAGCCCCAAATTTACTATGTATAGGTGCGGTGTGACTGTTAGGATATGTGTGCAAAGAATGAGGTGTATTTTCTATTTACTTTTTTTTACTTTTTTCACTCTTTTTCTGTTCTGCTCGGTGCCTCTGAGGGACCGAGCAGAACAGCCGAGCCGAATGCCGCTCAACGACATTCGGCTATTCACTCACTGCTGTTCGGCATCTTTAAGAATAGCCCGAACAGCAGCGAGTAGCCTGCCGGAGGTTCGGCTCAGTCGATCCAGATGTTGGATCGGCTGAGTCGAACTCCTTCTGCACTTCGGGTCGGCCGAACATGCTGAGCATCTTTAATTATATCATTCATCCTGTGACCAATAATAATTTATTATGACCATATACACTGCAAGTGAAACATTTACCGGTGGAGGTAATTTCTACATTCTATAGGTTGTTATTAAAAAGGGAAAAAGGAAGACAACCACATGTTTTATCATACATGTTCTTTAGAGATAAGTATTCCATTGTGGGTGTTATGTGGATGGTGTTGCTACACAACAGCTCACGGACAAACCACTTACCATAATGGCCTCTGTGTCTCTGGTTCCAAAATAACCCAAATGAACCATAAATCCCTCTTTTTCTCTGGCAGGAGAGACTGTGTAAGTTTCTTCTGCCATATATATTTACCTCTGCATTTCAGCTGTACATTGCGCCACGCATACGCATCTCAGTGTACGGTCAAGGCAAGATTCTTGCCGAGATGGAGCAACTCCGGTGCTCATGCGTGTAAGTTGTCGCATCAAGGGCCTGGCCAATTAAGCAGCCGAAGCTTCAGAACCTGGAAGAGGACCAGAAGAAGACAGAAGTGCCAATGACTGTGGAGAGCAGTTTTGGAGGGGATTACTTCTGTAGGTAAGTCTGCCATAATGTGCTAATATGCTTTGCATACTAGTACATTGTGGTAAACAGCTGCTCAGACCATCTCCCTGTCAGTCACGGCTCCCTGCAGGGATTCCCCCCCTCCCGGCTCCGATCCTCCAGCGCTGACGGATGGAACGGACGGGGAGAGGACGGGTACAGCTGGCTCTGCCTCTAGATAGGCAGAGCCAGCTGTCACTCACGCAGCTGGATGGATCTCGACAGTAATGTCGGGATCCGTCCCGGCTGCAGTGGTCTCAGTATAGCGCGAGCTGTAGCTTGCGCAATATACTGAGCTTTGGGTCATGGGAGGACGTTAGTATATGTCCTCCCGTGACCCTTAAGAGAACTATGGGGAAAAACACTTACCCCATAGTTCTCTTTTAATATTACTTCAAGTGTTTTATACCCCCTTAACATCCTCCCTAGATTTCCCCTGATGTAATACATAGAAAACAAAGAAGTGAGAAGCATGGGGCTTTTAAGGTGTCCAAGCCATAAATCATGTCCATCAGACACATTTCGTTATATACAAAAATATAAATTGTATTAATTTAAAATCAACATGATTCAAGAACATGGTTGCATCAGGAATATCTTCAACATGGTACAATAGCACAATAAAACCAAACTACCTCCTTATGGAGCCCACATATGTATATACATTATTCTCATTTCTTTTCATTCTAGTCCACAAGCATAAATTTATCGTTTTGATATAGTCCAATGTGGGCCCAATCTTCAACGCGTTTTGCAACTGTTTGTGCTTCATCAGGAAGTTTGGAAGTAATCTAAAATATGGTACCAAAGATCAATCAATATATAATAATAAAATACATAACAAACATCATGATAATAATGTCAACTAGATACAAATAACAACAAATCAAACCATACTTCTTGTTAATAGAAATGACAAGAGCCTTGTGCTCAAGGGCTATTTCACAATCACCAAACAGGTGAAGTAGGTTGGAGGTATCCAGGGATAATGGGGATAATAGAAGCATTGTATGGTAATGAGAGGAAGCTCAGTCTGTCCGTCAGTTTGTCCATCTGCTTTCACTTTCAAACTGCTCGGAGTCGCCTGAAATCTGCAAAGGCCTTCACCAGCTGAAAGGTAAGAAATATATTTTTTTAAATGATTCTTAGTTGAATTCTGTGTAAATGGGAACACATAACAGACATATAGTGGGGTTTTCTTAAATTTCACTGCAAAAGTGGAAATACACTTTAAAGAAGAACCACGGGCATTAATATTCTTAATCCTTGCAGTGGGACTATCCTTGGAATGGAGGAGAAGGCAGGCTGCGGGGACTGGTCTAGGAGCGAGCCGGCTCTGTGTTTCAGGTGAGTATTTCTTTGCTATTTTCATCCCTAGACAAAAACAAGAACTTAACCCTTGCAGTGCATGGGGTAACACTACTGCAAGGGTTAATAATATTTATGCCGGAGTTCTTCTTTAAGAGAGCGAGAAAGCAGGAAGTTGCACAATACATAATACATGACAAAAAACGACCCTGGACACAGATGTGGGAAGCCTGCAGACTGCAGGGTTCCTGGCTAGCATTAGCAGTTCATCGATTGAGTTTTACCTTTTTGCCTGAAGGTAGCTCCATTGTCTAGAGCAGGAGGATATTCCCACTCAAAAAAGTAGAAAGTGAGTTAAAATACAAATAGCAGCAGGAAGAAATCTTGAATTAAGTTTAATAAAATGCTTGCAATGTACATAACTGTCAGGGAGGATTGTTTATTTCTCAGCAAAAGTGGACTTATACTTCAATTAGTGAATGAAAGAGGGAGCTAGTATATGTGTTAATATGAATCTGTCATTGTTTAACATGGTAATAAGAATAAACCAATATGTGTTAATGGTTGAAATCTGTTTATGGTCAAGTCAACTGCTGTAGCAAGCAATGAAATGATGATGGCGAAAATATTGCAAAAATTGCAAACAGTGACACCTTGTGGTAAAATACAGTATGTCATGAAGAAACCACATACACAGTGTCAGGGCTATTCACTAATGTGTGAAGAGTTTGTAGAAGGAAGGGGAAGAGAACAATTTAGGACAACATAGCTGAACTGGAAAGTGAGCTGAGTTGGAGAATTTTTCCAAATCAGCTATTTTGCCCTAGAGTGTTCACTTCTCCTGCCTTCTCCAAACTCTTCACCCTTTAGTGACTAGACCCTTGAGAGTTCACTTGCAAGAGTCCAATAAAAAATAATTAGTAAAAAAAAAAAAGATAAGAAAATTCAGATCATAGCTAGCATAGCAAAAGTTTGGTGTAGTGAGCTCTAGGCGGAAACACTCTGTTCTCAGGGTTAATAAATCACACTACGTGTGCAGGTCATAAAATATTTTATTGATTTTCATTGGATACCATAAAGGAAACCTGTGACTAGACAAAGATTTAAGCTAGCATTTCTCCTTCTGAAAAGCTAGTGTTGTTTAGTTGTCTAGTTGTCAACACTTTGAGTCACTGACCTTGAAAAAATATAGAGATAAGGGTTTGGGACTTCTCTCATTTGCTGCATGCTTGTGTCCAATGTACCGATGCCAGGCTATGGGGTGTATTTATTTAAAAAAACATTGCAGACCCCTTCATCCTACAAGACTGAATGTACGTTCATTCTGTGGGAATGGAGGCAAAAATGAACATTATTGCAGTAGTATATGTCGTGTATTTTTGAGTGTACTGTGGAAAAATAAGGAATTATGGCCACTAGATGGCGGTGATAAGCATAGGAAAAACACTGATCAGCCATAACCTCAGGACCACCCACCTACTATTGAGTAGGTCTCCCTTTTGCCGCCAAAACAGCTCTGACCAAACTAGGCACGTACTCCACTAGACCTCTGAAGGTATGCTGTGATATCTGGCACGAAGCCATCAGTAGCAGATCCTTTAAGTCCTGTAAGTAAGGGTGGGGACATTGTATGCACTTTTAGTGATTTGACACAGGTTAGCATGCACCCTGAGCGATCTGCAACTACGCAGCCCTATATGCAACAAACTAATGCACTGTGTGTTCAGACACCTTTCAATCAGAACCAGGATTAAGCTTTTCAACAATTTGAGCTACAGTAGCTCTTCTATTGGATCGGACTAAACAGGCCAGGCTTTGCTCTCCACATGCATCAATGAGCCTTGGCCACCCATGACCCTGTCGCTGGTTCACAGGTATTCCTTCCTGGGACCACTTTTGGTAGGTTCTGACCACTGCAGACCGGGAACATCCCACAAGAGCTGCAGTTTTTGAGTTGTTTTGACCCAGTCAAAATTTGACCCTTGTCAAACTCGCACAAATCCTCATATTTTTTCTGCTTGCAACACATAAATAATCAATGTTATTAACTTCACCTCTCAGTGGCTATAATGTTATTGCTAATTGGTGTAAGTATTTGATGCAGTATGTTCTTTATATTACATTTGACCTGGAAAGAAATACCCTTCAAAAATACCCTATAGTGTGAAAAACAGCCAGTCATGGCAGCTCTCATATTAAGTAACCAGTAAAAACAATTCTTACCTTTTATCTTTGTTTCCTTTTTGGAGTGACCAGATCTCATTGCTGTCACACAGAGAATATTGCAAGTGGTCAAAGCTGTGCAACTGCCTGTCAATTCACATGGGAAGATGCACTTGTGGACCGTTGGAATCATCCTGTGAATGTTCATCCAGTGCAAATAGAAGAATGAAAGTCCTTACTATATTTCCTTTTATGTTGAATATAATGTAAAGTAATACTGCATTATGGCCACTAAATGGAGCTAAGGAGCTTGGGGAATAAATACCCACCGCCAGCGGTTAGCTAGGGTTTAGTAATGTAATACTACATTATGGCCACTAGATGGAGTTGGGAAGCATAAGAAATTGATACCCAGTGGCCAGCTAGGGTTTAGTACATTGCAGTTAGGCCTCTATAGTTAGTGTGATGGACTGAAAATTCTAAAAAAAAACAAAAAACAGATACTGTATGTGTATATATATATATATATACATTTTTTTGAGTTCTGTAAAGTGTGTTTTGTAAGCAGTCTCTAGGTGGTGCATGATGTAAAAAAAGAGAAAGAGCCAGCACATGGTGGAATAATAATTGCTCTTGCTTCTCATTATTCTACAGGTATGTAAAACTTTTTAAATAATGTAATCTTAAATAAAACTGATATGTACGAGGATCTGGAAGGGCGGGAGGCGTGTGAGCCAGTGCCATGGGCACCAATGGCTCTATTCTCGTCAAAGCCACCTCAGCAGGAGCATCGGGGGGAGAAAGGAGAAGGGGTCAGAGTTCAGAAGGGGCAGTAGCCAGTTCACCTGACCTTTTTCAAGAAGCTACCTGACCTTGTAGATGAGGCTAATGCATCCATGGTGTACATGAGACTAATGCAGGTGAGGGCGTCCAACTTCTTCTGATGCTGAAGTCTTTTGCACACTTGTGGAATGCTACTGTGTAGCAAATTGCACGCCTACCTGATGGAATGGCATGATGGATAAGTATTTGCTTGTATATCTCAACATGCAGCCCGAGGAACCTGAAGCATGATGGAGGTTCATGCTTCACTGTTGCCTGAAGATGCTCATTATTGTATCACTCTCCAGCCCTGCAGCGAACAAACTGCCTCCTTCTATAGCCAAATATTTCAAATTTTGACTCATTGGTCCAGAGCACCTCCTGCCACTTTTCTGCACCCCAGTTTTTGTGCATAGTTGAGTTGCTTAGCCTTGTTTTCATTTCAGAGGTATGACTTTTTGGTTACAATTCTTCCATGAAGATCACTTCTTGCCAGATTTCTCCGGACAGTAGATGGGTGTACCTGGGTCCCACTGTTTTCCTCCAGTTCAGCGCTGATAGCACTGCTGGACATCTTCCAATGTTGGAGGGAAGCAAGCATAATGTTTCTTTCATCTGCTGCATTAAGTTTCCTTGGCTGATCACTGCGTCTACGGTCCTCAACGTTGCCCGTTTCTCTGTGCTTTTTCAAAAGAGCTTGAACAGCACATCTTGAAACCCCAGTCTGCTTTGAAATCTTTGCCTGGGAGAGACCTTGCTGATGCAGTATAACTACCTTGTGCCCTGTTGCTGTGCTCTGTCTTGCCGTGGTGTATGCCCTGTGATATGAAACTGTCTTCTACAACCTCACCTTAGTAGCAGAGTTTGGCTGTTCCTCACCGAGTTTTAAGCCTCCTACACAGCTGTTTCTGTTTCAGTCCATGACTGTGCTTCAAACCACATATGAAATTGATCATTAGCACCGGCTTGATATATTTGGTTAATCATACACCTGACTCTAATCCTACAAAATCCCTGACTTTGTACAAGTATGCAAGTGGAAAGGTGCCCATACACCTTACAACCATCGCAAGACTTTTGTCTTGCGATGGTTGTAAGCTAATTAAAAGCTTGTACGATCTGCTCATCTTGGACAGGCAGATCGTACTTGCGATCATCGGGCTTCCGATGACCACAATGAGGGGCAGTCTTCCGATGACTGCAAACGGGCAGTGTGCGCGTGCGCACACTGGCCCGTTAAGCAGTTGTCGAACAAGCAGGCCACTAACCCACCGAGAATCGTACGATTCTCGGCGGGTTTCCAAGCCTGCTCGTTCGACGGAAGACGTGCGACCGTACAGTAGAAACGGTCGCACGCCTTCCATACACTTTGCGATTATCATACGATCGCAGGATTTTGCGCGATTATCGTACGATAATTGTGCAGTGTATGGGCACCTTTAGAATTGATGCTGGTTTAAAGCCAAAGGGTAGTCACACTTGTTTAATGGGCTATGTCTATTGGAATGGTACAATGAAAACGTCATTGTAACGTCATTCCAAAATGTAGGAAAAACTGTTCTCTATTGTTGTTAATAGCAGAACACATGCCTTTAGACACAGTAGTGTGAAGTTGAGCATCTGAAATTGTGAATAAGCACATTAATAACAGTTTATTTGTGAACATGAAAAAAATGAGAAAAACATTGTGTTAATGTTTGAAAAGTTATCAAAGTGTTATACTTACCTGTAAAAAGTGAAAGTAAAATGAGAAAGAGCCAGCACATGGCCTAATGATAACTCCTCTTGCTTCTCATTATTCTATAGTTACTGTATAGTCGCTCATTCTTCCATGTTTCAAACCAGTAACATTTGCATCCTTGTTGCTACTTATTATTTTTTTTATTTATTTATTTTGCAGCGATATCGCTCATATTTCCACGCGATATCGCTCTATGTAGCTTCTCCAATCCATTTCAATGGAGCTGTTCACATCTCGCCGCTCAATATCGCTTGTAGCTCGTCGATGTAGCGTCGCTCCTACATGACCCTTTTTTCTGCGGATTTCGAGTGATTTTGCTCCTGATTGCATACAGCCCAAAAGGAAAAAGTTGCGCGATGTTGCGCGACGTAGAGCGACAAGTCGCGCAATATCGCACATATAAAATCGCTCGGAAAATTGCGCGATTTTCATGTCGCTCAGTGGAATGGGGCCTTAGGGATATTTGTTGCATCGTGTGTTTATTACTGCCTGCAGTGTCGTTTTCTACTTACCTACTGCATTTGAGGCAAGGCCACTCACAGGTGACAAGGAGAACAACCTTTACTCTTATTCTCTTCATTGAGTTACTGAATTGTACCGCTGCCATTGAACCACTGCAATGACTATTGTGTGGCTGTGTAACCAACGCTTTACTTCAGGTCTTTTCTGTTTGTTTAATAAAGTCTATTTATTGTTAAATAGAGATAAACTGTGCTAGGAATCAAATAACACTCAAAGAGCAGGTGTGCTTAATAGGTGAGTTCCCTTTTCCTAAAGTCTATTTATTGTTAAATAGAGATAAACTGTGCTAGGAATCAAATAACACTCAAAGAGCAGGTGTGCTTAATAGGTGAGTTCCCTTTTCCTAAAGTCTATTTATTGCCATTGTTGTGTCAGGTCCAGTTACAGGGTTGGTCATCAATGGAAACCATAGACCAGCCTGACTTTTCTAGCAGCTTCATTGCTACAATACTTATCAGAATATTTAGCTTTATAAAACCAATACAAACCTTATGTTCTCGCTTTCCACTACTTTTAAAGTGTGAGTCCAGCTAAAACTTACATCAGGCAGATTTCACCCTTTAGAAAGTAAGGGAAAACCGCCAACAGCAACAAAGGCAAAAACGTTTTGGGGGACTTGTTCTTTAATGACATCCTGAACTTTTTTTGTGAAAGTTTGGTTACAGTTTTTAAAGCTTGTACTTCTTCATGTATTATCTATTATGTAAAATTAAAACATGGAGTACATTTGTTTCATCCATCTTTTAGGGCTATTATGTCAGTTTTTGCAGCTGTATCATCTATAAAAACCCCAGTTCAGATGAACCAAGAAACATTGACTGTACAAGGCTACAAAATATCTGCTTCTAAATGAATATTTGTATTCTTCAATACTATTATTTATACTTTGCAGTGCAGAAGGAGACCAAATCTGTTTACATACCATGTAAACTCCTTGTAGCTAGCATAAACTGGCCTGTCCATTGCTGTCAAATGACATTAAGAGACTGATATATGAAAGTGCAATACTTATTTATATAGAGAAAGAGCAAACTTTCCAAAGAAACAAGCACTAAACTGACTTTTCTATGGCTGAAGACCAGGCCTCTGAATGAGGCAAAGTAAGGTCCACTACCTGGTGACAGCATTCTATAAAGCCTGGGGAGATCGTCAGAGTAAAGCAAGATGTCTGCTTGTACCGCCCCCCTCCTTCCTTCGTAACATTGAAATATCTAGATTGTGTGTCAGGATTTCCATTTTTGTCTACCTATTGTCAAGTCAGAACTGTTTTTTTAGAGGTCTATATTACTAAACTTGAATCCTCTGCAGGCCTGTCACTAAAACCATGGTGATGGCTGTGGTACACTTTGTGCATCACTATTGAAGCTGCTGATCAGGGCCATCCTTATAATGAGGCAGCCTGTCATCGCCTTTCCGGCCAGAGCATCCCAGGTTACTAAAAACGGGCGTGGAGATGGGTAAGGGCCATACACATCTCCCCTCCCAGCTTTTAGCAACCTCGGATGCTCTGGCCGGCATCCCGCTCAGCTCCTGGCAACCAGTGACATCACTGTCTGCCAGGAGTTGAGCAGGATATTGTGGCTGGATTTCTGCCCAGCTCTTGGCAACCAGTGATGTCAGTGAGATGGGTGGGATGGTGGCCAGAGCTAGGCAGTGCACCACTAGGACCCCCAGCCAGAGCGCCCTCTCCACCCCCCTCTCAAACATGACCACCAGCACACACCCCTCCCTTCCCCTCTCACCCTCAGGCAGCAATTTTCCCAATTAACCCCAGTCTCAGACTTATTGATTACTAAATGTTCCCAGGTATGAACATGAAGGACAATTTTCTAGAGAAAACTGGACATAGAGATAGCTGACTTTATGTTTCTTCTTTCTCATCAGTAAAAATACTTATACTGTATACTTCTCAGGAAAAGGATGATTTTCGGACAGATGCTAGGTAATTATGGTGGATCCAGACTGGATGTCACAGACGCACCTCGCTGCTCTCACTCCGTCTGCCTCAGCGTGTCTTCCGGGTCCAGCAGCGTCCCGTGTCAGCAGCCGCTGGTAGCTCCTCCCCCCGCTTGTCTCATTCCCCAATAAAAGGCAGCTGGATCCTCCCCCCCCCCCCCCCCCAGCGGTCTCTAATGTTGCAGTAGCGTGCTGGACTTTCCTGAGACCCTGCAGAGCACACCATAGATTCAGTATAGCCCACCTGAGACTCTCTATGGTGGGCTCTGCAGGGTCCCAGGTGGGCTGGTCTGGTCGTCGGGATGCAGCCTCGGTACAGTTGATACCCATGTAAGAGGCCCCCCAGACCTCTCACATGGGTACCGGTTATACCCCTCTGATGGCGTGTTCTATCAAAGGTTGTGACCGGTGACGTGGTCGCTCGTTGTAACGTAATCCCGCCCAGTTTTTCGGTGGTGGAATGTGTGACCACCAATAGGTGAAGCATTCCAGCGCTTTCCCAGCTGTTCCCGGGCAGCTCGGCATCGCAAATCGCATGTGCAGGAGAACCGATCTGCCCTGAAACAGCTGATCGGTCCTGAAATGTCACTTCTATCCGACTTTGTGAGTGCCGTGGAATGTGAGATCGCAGTCAGAGAGAAGTGACATTTCAGGACCGATCAGCTGTTTCAGGGCAGATCGGTTCTCCTGCACATGCGATTTGTGATGCCTGTAACAGCGGAGAAAGCGTTGGAATTCTTCACCTACTTCACCTATTCCACCTAATCCTGTTCATACCTACCTACCACTCCCCTCATTTAGGGCTGTGGGGAAGCCTACACAAAAACTACAATAATCATCAGACACCACTTCAAGGATTGGTGGGGGGGGGGGAGAGAATATATAGGAGAGAACGAGGAGAGACAGCCAGGAGAGAGAGCGAAGAGAAATAGTCAGGGAAGAGTGTGGGGAGAGACAGCCAGGAGAGAGAGAGAGAGGAGAGAGCCAGGAGAGAAAGCAAGGAGAGTCAGCCAGGAGAGAGAGAGAGAGGCAAGACAGCCAGGAGAGAGAGCAATGAGAGTCAGCCAGGGGAGAGAGCAAGGAGAGACACCTGGGAGAGAGAGCCAGGAGGATGAGCGTGGAGAGATAGCCAGGAAAGAGAGTGAGGAGAGGCCTACAGGAGAGAGAGAGAGAGAGAGAGAGAGAGAGAGAGAGGGGAGAGAGTGATGAGAGACAGCCAGGACAGAGAGAGAGGAGAGACAGCCAGGAGAGAGAGTGAAGAGAGATAGCAATAATTTTGTGTCCCTGATTCAGGGCTGTACACTGCAAAACGTGGTAAATAAGACAAAGCACAAAATGTCTGAAAAAGTCACAAATTGCTGAGATCCATGTTTTTTTGGAATGAGGGACATTAGGGGCGAAAAAAAAAGAAAAAAAAAACAAGACTCACACTGGTTCCTCCTGCACTACCCACAATCATGGCTCTGAGTGTATCAATTTAGCATTGTACTTGCAGTAGATTGTAGTGTATGTGTAAGATGGGCAGAGAGAGAGAGAGAGATTGGAAAGGTTGTACGAACCGTCAGAGCCCAGTCACAGAGGAGTTCTACACTTGTACTGAAGCACAGCTGCATATCAGCAGGAACACCAAGACCCCTTCGTTGCTCCTGTCCATTTGAGATAGGTCAGTGAGGGAGGCACCAGGGTGGTCCAAAGAACATGCCCTAGATAAGCAGTGGCTCAGTGGTGGGCAGGAGAAGGGGGAAGAGGTGGATTAAAGAATAGAGTAAGTTCTGTGTGGTAGCCATCGAGGTGGTAATATTCACTGGTAGTCTAAAAGAAAAAAACAAGATGGAGCAGTGGCTCAGTGGTCGGCAGGAGCAGGGGGCAGAGGTGGATTAAAGAACAGAGAAAGCTCAGTGTGGGAGGAATCAAGGTGGCAATGTTCACTGGTAGTCCAAAGAACTAACACTAGGTGGAGCAGTGGCTCTATTGTAGGCTTGGAAAAGTCAATACCCTCTTGTTCTCGTCCATATAGCACAGAAGAGATGGATTACAAAAGTATCTGCATTTCTTAATATATTTCTTCAGGTTAAAGAGTTCCTGCTTATTGTTTAAATCGTTGTACTTACTCATGTGGATGTGGGTGCCCTTTCTGTATTGTGCAAAGCATCATTTCTTATCGACACAACTTACTTTTATTCAGTCTTCAGGAATTTGCAAGATCACTGAACATTCTAGTGATAAATATTGTCTTCCCTTTTAACTGCTAGCTGCACTTTTTACTTGACTGTTCACAACAGTAGTAAAAGTAGGAAAGCAAAATTAGACATGTTTAACCTTAAAGAGAACCTGTGCTTTTTCCATGCTGTCTCCACCATCTTTTGCATTCTGGAGCAAAGAGAGGAGGCCCTGTTAACCTTGCAATTTAACAATTACATAAAGCTGAGCAATCTCTACCCACTCCAATGCGATAGCACTAGCATTGGGAGGATGGCAAGTGAGTCACATGGTGCCCCCATACCTCCCAACTGTCCCGTATTTGGAACCAAATCCCTCTGTCCCTCTTTCCTCCTCAGTTGTCCCTCTATGTGGTCGATATAATTATAGCTATAAAAATGGATTATTTTAACCTACGAAAATGTTTTTCTGCACTAAAACCTCTATCCTATATCTTAATTATTGATGTCCCGATACCGATACCAACATCGGTATCAGGGCCAATACAGGGCATTTTCATGAGTGCTTGTTCTCGTGAAAATGCCCCGATATGTAGCGCTGATGCTTCAAATTTCATAATAGGTTCTGGCTGCTTGTACAAGTGACCCGCCTGGATCACTTGTATAGCAGCCTGCTCATCTGTCCCCCCCGCTGGCCCCTCCCCTCCAATTTTCACCCCTCCCCTCCAAGCCCCGTCCCACCATGGTTCGCCCCCTCTCTGGCTTTTGGGCTCCACTGCTCTTCTGGGGGGCCTGGGACCCCGACAAAGCAGTTCAGGATGGAGAATGGGGATCAGTGACACAGGAGCACTGTATTCACATCGCTTCCTGTGTCAGCTGTCACAACAGAGCTATACACAGGATAGAGCACAATGCTGTGCTGTATCTTCTGTATTGGAAGGCAGGCTCATAAAGAGAGCCTGTCACCTCTGAATGATATCTCACAGGGGTTTATTATCCCCTGTGTGATATCAATAAATTTAAGTGAAAAAGTGGCAAAAAATACAATCAAATAAAAATTAAAAAAGTTCTAAAAGGTTAAAAAAAGATTAAGAATGTTTTTAAAAATACAAAAAAATACTAAATTAAATAAAAATTTAAAAAAGTGATAAAAAGGTTCAAAAAAAAGTGATAAAAAGGTAAAAATAAAAACAAAATAATACAAAACAATAATAAAGTAAAAATTAAAGTTCTAAAAAGGTAACAAATAATAAAATAAATGCAAATTAAAATAAAAACCAACCCTGCCCTCCTCCCCCCCCGCCATCTGCGTGCGAATAAACGCATGCATCAGGCATTGTGTGTGCGCACACTGAGTTCTGTTTGCAGCCCTGCGCTATGGATTTTGAATTTCACTTGGAAATTGCGAGGACTCGTTGGTCAATGCAGTCAGGTGACAGCACTGACCAATGAGAAGCGCTTCTTAGCGTGCTCAAATACGGTTTTGGTTAAAATTACTTTTTGTATCAGGACAAGTATAGTCATGAATTGCGTTACAGTTCTTCATAATTATAAAGAAACTGCCCTACAATCATTAGTCTGTATTGTTTTAGAAAAAATGTCACATGTCCCTTTAAGAAAAAGTATCAGTAATTGGTATCGGTGAGTACCTGATGGAAAGTACTTGTACTTGGTCTTGAAAAAATGTAGGGCAAAATCAGGACATCCCTAATCTTAATTATCTTATTTGCTATTTTGAAAAGCTAGTATAAAGGGAAAGTAAAGCAAAAAACAGTTCTGGGTCTAACCAATCATTTTTGGCATATACATTCTTAATGGTCCACATAACTGGGGACGTGGCGGGGGTGCATCCAAGATATACATACATTGTAATGGAAGGTGTCCCTCTTTCTCATCTCAGAAAGTTAGGGTGTAGGCCTGTCCCATAAATGAAAGTACTGTATATCTTTTATTTACTTCTGGCAGCCAAATGGAGAGGTGGGTAAGGGGTGGGGGTGAAGGGGAAGTGAGAATTAGCTGTTGGTTCCCTGCATGAGCAAGCACAGATTCTCTTTAAAGTGACACTAAACTTAGGTGTTAAATCCTAAAAATGCATTCAAATACCTTAACTGTTAACATAAATGTAGCTTATTTGTGCATCACTGAAAAGACAGCACAATGTTTGTCAGGAAAGCAGCGCAGGCACAAACTCATGTAGAAGATAATGGGCAAACATGCTGTGATGGGTGGTCATGCACACAAATGAGCACATAAACATGCGCGCATGGACTGTGCCAATGAACACGTACAGGCATGCTCATTGGCGCCTGTCTGCCTATTTAAACTCACATAGAATCTGAACTCATTGCTGACTGGTCTTCAGCTTGTTCCTGTGCTCCTGTGACCCGACCTGCTACTCTGCTTCTCGAAACAGAAAGAAATGCAAAAAAAGGAACGTTACAACCTGACACAATAGCTGGTAATGGGAACTGGATTAGTAGCTAATTGTAGCTAAATAATAACTCTGGTGAGAAAGCTTAAATTAAAATGTCGCAAGTGTTCTGATCAAAACACTTGTACTATACAGGACACCTCTGCCTGTTTCAGGCGCTTGCACACCTACCACTGGCACTTCAAGTTTCCACCATCCACTTTAATATTATTCATTGGTAGTGTGCTTGACATATCCTAATTCTTCTTTCTGTTTCCTGAAAGGCAATCTTGCCTTATGTCCTTGACTCCGCTTCTGCTTAAAGAAGAACTATGGGGTTAGGGCGTTTCTCCATTGTTCTCCTAAGGGTAACGGGAGGACACAAACTAGCGTCCTCCTGTCACCCTAAGCTCAGTATACCGCGAGCTACAGCTCGCGGTATACTGAGGCGCCGCAGCTGAAGCGGATCCCGACAATTATGTCTGGATCCGCCCAGCTGCGTGAGTTACATCTGGCTCTGCCTATCT